ATTTAGACATATGCTCATATGATATACTGCATTTAGCCCTAGCTGGCTTGGCTCAGTGGGTAGAGCATCCACCTGCAGATTGAAGGGTCCCAGGTTCGATTTTGGTCAAGGGCACATGCCCAGATTGCAGGCTTGATCCCCAGTAGGGGCTGTGTAGTAGGCAGCCAATCAATGATTCTCTCTCATCATTGATGTTTCTACCGCTCCCTCTTCCTTCCTCTCTGAAATCAATAAAAATGTATTAAAAAATACTAAATTTATAAGAATTCTGTTCCTTAGTTGGGGTAAAATCACTTGTAAATTGTGACCTAAAAGCACTAAAGGAACACTAAATGATGGTAGTGCTGATTAACAAATTAAAGTCAAACCCACATGTTTCTGGAATGTTTTCTATTATGATACTGAGAACCAGTGACCTAGAACTACCTAGATCAACAGAGACTATTATCTTAAAAATATAATATTGGGAAAAATTCCTTTGGGATTGTCGAATATTATAGTTGAGGAGCATTGCTGGTGAGTAGTGGGTAAGGATGCTAAATGTTCAGTCCTAGACAGGATGGTCCACACAATGTATAATTGCCCTTTATCTCACATGACTCTCAACTGCCCTTTTGTGACTAAGGTGTATGTAGCAAAACGGAAATAGAATTGCACATCTACTTTCCTTTGACCTTTACTTTCTGCGGGGCTCTCAGAGAGACCAAGTCAATCAGAGTTATAGTTTTATGGTGTAGCCTGTGAAGCCATGATAATAATAATCTCAGATACAAAGAATGTACAGACCACTTCCTAGATAGCCTTTCCAGAGTGAAATGACTAGACATAAGAGCATTCTGTTCCTTTGAAAGGGCATATCGTAGAACTTCTGACATGACTCAATGCAAGGGGTCAAGATGCTAGAGAATTTTTCTTACTTGTTTTGGTATTTTTAGAATGATCATCAATCAGTAACAGAATATCTAATTACCTGGCTCCAATAATGGGAACATTATTACCTTATCTGGTGAGGGGGTCCAGAGGTGCAACATCTCAACTTTCTGCTCTACCATCCACATCTTCTTCCCTATGCCTCTCCTGATGATTAAGGATGGCTGCAGGAGTTATACACTTCATATCCTCCCATCATATTCAACCCAAGGGGGAAAAGAAGGAGTAGGAACACAAATATTTTCCCCTCACATACTTCTCTTTGATCAGGGGAAAAGTTATTTCCAAGAAGCCCTCAGAAGATCTTTTTATTTCTTATTGGACAGAATTGGACCCAACATTACTCCTACTCCTGAAATTGGCTAAAGGGAAGGGAATTACCACTGGCTTAGAATACTCATAATTCATTTTCTATTTCTGTCTGGGCATACTACTGCCTCACAAAACTGGGTTCTTTGGGTTTTTAACAAGGAAATGAAAGAAGTGATTGTTGGGCCTATGGATATACTACAGTTTTAAGTACCAAGATTTCAGAGACTCAAGCTATTAATTTCTGCATTCATGGAAGAAAGAGAAAGAAGTTGGCACCTCTTTCTCTCATTTTCCGCCTCATTGCTTTCAATAAAAGAAATTAAGTTGAGTGGAATTTTTCAGAAAATGGAATCATATTGATTATAAACTCTTATGAAACATTTTCCAATAGCTAGGATACCTGAGTCTGCCATCAGTTAGCTATGGGGCCTTGGGCATATTGCTAGGGCTCAGTTTCCCACTTGTAAAGTAAGAAAGATGGGTTCTATAAATCACTGGTAGTTCATTTCTCATTTTATGTTTCCCGAAGCCTTTGAATCAACAGCTAAGTTATGTAGGATGGTTTTCAAACTAAATGTAATTTTATAACTATTTTGTAATTTAAGGCTAAGTCTTGTGCCATGTTGATTCTAAAGAATTAAGATGGCCTTAACTGGTTTGGCTCAGTGGATAACGTGCCCACTATGGACTGAATGGTTCTGGGGTTCAATTCCGGTCAAGGGCACATGCCTGGGTTGTGGGCTCGATCTCCAGTAGGGGGTGTGCAGGAGGCAGCCAATCAATGATTCTCTCTCATCATTGATGTTTCTACTTCTCTCTTCCTCTCTGAAATACATAAAAAAATATATTTTAAGAATATGGCTTACAAACATTTCATTTCAAGGGGAAGAGAATAGAGATTCAAGATCATGATTCCTATCTATGTTTTGACTAACATAATTATATTTAGATACTTCTTTATAGTAAATCTATCAGTGAAGAATGTTTTAAACTCAGTTTTTCCCAAAAGAGTATTACCAAGTGGTCTGGGGAGGAGAGAGTTCTGAGGTAAAATAACTATAGAAGATGCTGTACTAATCACAGTTAAAAAGATTTCTTGACCCCTGGATTTCTCAGAGGATTTATAATGCTATAAAGTTAAAAATGTGACTCTCCAAAAGAAAGACGTTACCTCCCAACTTGAACACAAGCCCTGAGATAGCATGACAGACAGTCCATCTGACAACAAAGATGGCTACTACCCTGTTCCCCCCAAAATAAGACAGTGTCTTATATTAATTTTTTTCTCCCAAAGTTGCGCTAGGTCTTATTTTCAGGGGATGACTTATCTTCCCATTTGCTTGATCTTGTTTTAGGAGGATGCCTTATTTTCGGGGAAACACGATAAGTGACTGACAGACAGGTGTGTACACATCCTAGATATGAAGGACAAAGGGATAATTCATGTCCAGAGTGGGGAGGGATGGTGCAAGATTTCATCATACTACTCAGAATGGCACTCAATTTAAAACGTATGAATTGTTCATTTCTGGAATTTTCCATTTAATATTTTTGACCGTGGTTGACCACAGATAGCTGAAACCATGGAAGAGCAAAGAGAAACTGTAGATAAGGAGAGACTACTGTATTGTCTTCCTAGAGAAACATCTTGCTCCCTGAAACACAGTTGAAATGGCATTAAAAACACACACACAAGATTTAGAGGCAACTATGGAGGGCAAGCCAGACTCTATTGTTTTAACAGAGGAAAGCAACCAAAAACAAATTTCTCACAAGTGTCAATTCTGAGTATAAACATGTCATTATCTGCCAATGATCATGTGGTATCAGAAGTGGCTTCTAAGCCCTTGGAATTTCAAATATCTAAGAACCAGAGATAGTGGAAAAGAAAGACCAGGATGTAACCTTGACCCTATAAGCAAGGTTATATAATAGTAATAATAACTATTATATAAAATATTTGTTAAGGATTCTCAAGCTTATACATGTTAAATGACCTTTCAAGTTCTTGAGTACTTTGACCAGGTTAGGAGGAGTCTGTTTAGAGTGCTCATTTGTGTGTATGTCTTGGATGGAAAAAGACATTAAAAGTTAGCAAGTAGCCGAAACCAGTTTGGCTCAGTGGTAGAGCGTCGGTCTATGTACTGAAGGGTCCTGGGTTTGATTCCAGTCAAGGGCATGTACATTGGTTGCGGGCACATCCCCGGTAGGGGGTGTGCAAGAGGCAGCTGATCGATGACTCTCTCTCATCGATGTTTCTAACTCTCTCTCTCCCTTCCTCTCTGTAAAAAATCAATAAAATATATATATTTTTAAAAAAGTTAGCAAGTAAAAGGTTCTAAAACCACAATGGATTGGTACATGGACACAACCAATATAATTACAATTTCCATGGACACAACCAATATGATTACAATTTTACAATTACAGTTTCCTTCACAAACTAGAATATTGTTATTTGCCATTCAATAGTGTTATTTGCCATTCAAAAGTACAACTCTTGGGCTTCTCCTTTACCATTACACCTTTCCAATAATGCATAGGTTAAATTAAAAAAAATTAGTTTGCTTGGATCTATAGCCTTCCCAAGCTACCCAAGTAGACAACAGTGCCATCTAGTGGCCTAAATATACCACAGCCAATGTTTCTGGGGTGGGGACAGAGGTACTAAGATAGCTCTGAGGGACGTGTCCAGCAGATGCAATGCTAATAGTGACACCAAAGCCACACATAGGCCATACAAACTCATCCATAATAAACATGCTCATTCAGTTGGAAGACCCCTCTCCAAAGCTTTACCAGCTCCATGGAGAGTACCACCACTATTGAAACAAGGTTTTGATCTGCCTCATTTCCTTTCCTTTGAACTTTAAAATCCATTTCTCATCCCTTTGTTCACAAACTGTCTGAAAATATTTCCAAAATTCTCTTATATTTACAATAAGGATGTTGCCATACATCACCATAATGAGGTAGAAAAGTAGGCATAAGGTTGCTAATGAAGGCCAAGAACTCCATAGCAATGAATTAAAGGTACAGGGAACTCCACAGGGAGTCAGTCCAAGCCATAGCAGAGATAGAATTTGCCCTAAGAATGAGCAAGCCAGAGCTAGGCTTTGGTCTAAACAAGACAAAGATTTAAGGCATAGAATGTAGGAAAAGGCTTATAAGAGTGAAGAGATGCAGCTTCACCTGACACTCCCAATATTTTAGAGATAAACACTCTTAGCAAACATCCCTGGCGGCCTTTTTTAGTTAAAATTAGGTACTCACTTCTCTTCCTGGTTTACTGGAAGGCTTATGTAATCCTCTGCTTCTGCAACCAGGTCTCTTATTGCGACCACCATCAATGTGCTGAGAGAACATGGAAGGGCATGGAGAACCATGCCCAGGACGGGACCATTGTCAGAACATCACTGATGAGTTCTTGCCATGCCCCACCTCTGACACAGTTAAGATCATGATAGATGGGTGAGTATAAACACAAAAAGTTTTTTTTTTTTAAGCCCATTTTTTTTTTTACTAAAGATGAAAACACACAGCATGGGTTCATACTGGTTTGCAGTAAAGGAATAGAGAGAAAGTTGGAAGGAAGAGGTAGTTTTCAGACATTCAAATATGTGCATCTCCAACATTTGCATCCGAGGCTGAGCCATGCCCATGCAAATGGTTCTTAGTTCCAATTTGTGTCGGAAAAGTCTGGAACACACTCGCTTCCCCTATGCAAATCTCCTAGGAAAGCGGGCGCTGGTTCTTACCTATAATAAAAAGAATCTCCACTGCAATGTCGCTCACTGTTGTGCTCCGAGTCGTGGACAGGTCATCGTTGCCAATGAAACAAACGTTGTAAGGTACGGTCACGGCAACATAAAACGTCGCCAAGAGAATAAGCCAGTCCCAGCCGGCTTTAAAAGTGCTGAAATGCAAAAGTATGAATTTGGACTTTTTTGCATCGGAAACTTTATACTCCGGAAACGCTGGTTTATCTACAAAAACATTCTGTGGATAAAGACAAAAAGGAGAGAAGGAAGACACAACATTAGAAACCTGGATCACACAGCCTTAGACACATGTCTGTGAGGAGGATCATTTAGACATACCATGTCAGTCTATCTGAAAAGTGGATTTTAGAAGGTGGTGATGCAAAAAGTAGAGATGTATAAACTAAAACTGAGCAGAGGTCTTTGTTATAAGTAATAGAAATAGGCAAAGTTTAATCATGAATGTTAACTGAGCAATCCAGATTTTGTTCATTAAAAATGAAAAGATCATTACCTAAAATATTGCCTATAACTTCCACAGTTGTAAATATAATCCTATAACATTTTAAAACACAAAGATACACTTATATTCCTATTGTCATGGGATCACTGCATATAATTATAATTTTGAGGTGACAGTCCTTAGCTAAAGAATATATTGGACCTGAAATTCTTCTAATGATAACGAAGATACAATTTCCCCTTCTAGATAGAGACAATATGATCACTATTTTATTTTAAACAGCTGTGTACCTTTCTTTCAAAATATACCCAAGTTCTGCTAACCACTTGCGTTTTTGAGTTGTGTGTTGTTGTTGATTTTTTTGTTGTTGTTTTTTTGTGTGTGAAGTTTCAAGTTGGGAACTCAGATTTCATAACCTTGATTGATATGGATTCATTTTGAGGCTAGCTAGCTGTGGTGGAGGTTGGAAGGGAGACATGATCACGTTAGAGTTACTATTCAAATCGTGGGAGGAGAAAGGCAATGTTCACTCTGCAGCTGATTAAATGCGGAAGAAGAGCTGGCGTTTTTACAGCTGCAAAAGCACTTCACTCCGAAAGCAGTCAGGATTGACGCACAGCTCTCCTCACTGCTGCGAGACAAAGGGGAGGTGCAACAATAATAGCGTGTGTGGAAGTTTGACAAGACTAGATACTCGTCGACCCCGTTTAACCTCAATTAATGAGAAATACAAGGCTGGTGATGGAAGCTGAAATGTCAAAGTGAAGCTGAATGAACGGAACAGTTAAAAGTTCTGGAATGCATGTTACTTACGGGGTCACAATGTGTTTTCTCATTTCAGTCATTGAAGAAAGAACCAGTTAATGTATTTTGTTCAGGGAAGCCCCGAGACACTCGAGAACTCCAGGAAGGTTCAGAGTGATCGGAACACTCAGCGCTATAGTGGTAACTATCAGCAATGAAATATTTCTACTACCTTAATATGAAGGCACCCTTCATTTCGCATCTTTTCTTGGTAGGCAACCCTAAAACATGTTTTTATTTCCCGTTAGTATTTTTACTTAACCAACACAGGAAGCTCGTCTTGTTAGGGTTTCATGGTGAGAAATGCCTTCACCACTTTCAGATTGCTTTTTAATGCCCATCTGCAACTGCACCTACTGAAACAGCATTGGCACTAGAGAATACACTTCAAAATTAATCAGTAATATATGTTTAAAATTGAGAATAATTGATACTTGACCCTTTTCCTTCATCTCCTTCTCTAGTTTTCCAGGATCAGATTCCAAAGATAGATTTTGGCATAAAATTGAGGAGAAGGAAGTACAACTCTTGGGCTTCTCAAAGCTTAGGTTGGTGCAGAGGAGAGAGTTGGGCTCCATAGGTATTAACCTCCTCAAGGTTGATAAGCACTGCATCTACTTTACAACAGGACACGATGCTTTCTAATAGAATTCTTTTAAAAATATTTACTACAGTCAGACATCACCATAATTATAAAGGGCTATCTTAATTTTTATCCAAGTAAGTCTTTTTCAATAGTGTTTCAAAATAAAAAATGTTATCTTGTTTGTGGGAGAAGCCGACCCCAGAGAGGAGGGTCAGGAAAGGCCGAGAATTAAAGTATTTTCTTTGGATTATATTGATTATATGAATCACAAGCGATGCTGAAGCAAAAGGTCAGCAATATATCCACAAAATAAATCACAAGATTTCATTTTTATAGGCTACTTAAAATGTAGTAGTTAATTTTAAAGGATACTGACAATCTAACACATCTCAGATTAGATTTAAGCATTGAGTTTAGATTTAAATTCAAATCCTGTATACATCTTGACCCAATCACCTGAGTGAAAAAACAAAAAAACAAAAAACAACAACCCAGATGTTTCTCTCTTCCTAACAATGCATTTGTTAGGTTTTATCAAAAATCTTTTTGGAAGAAGGTTTATTATAACTGAAAAGTATTCTTTTAGCAAGTAGGGAGAAAAATACCTTATTTGTAACCCTGAAACATGGAGCTTACCTAAACAATAATACAAGCAACTATTCTCAAATATTGTTCATTAATTTTGAAGCCTATTCTTTAGTACCAATGGTGTTTTAGCTAACTAACCTGTACCTCATAAATTATTGAAACACAATGGTTAAGGCTAATGTCTAAGTATGCTAACTGTTTCTGAAACTATTTTTCCAGTATCTCTTTAAAACTAACTTCTGAATGAGCAGACAGAGAAGAAAATGTCTGTGCAGTCACTACACAGAGTAATCCTGGTGGAGTGTACCCTTTGATGACCATTAGCAGTAGCTTGCTGGTAATACTCGACCATTTAAAGCATTCTCCTTTCAAGCCCCCAAGGCACTCAAGTTGGCACACTTGCATCATCCCAATGCTGTTTAATGGAGTAACAAATCAAGGAGAGCAGAAATGAAACACCTTTTTCAAGATGTTTCTGGCAGAGTAAGAGCCGTGACTAAAAGGTGTTGCATCTTGATTGGGATGGAACCTTGCTAAGGGCCTGCTGAGATCTTCTATCTGTGGCTGGATCATGTATTATTTGTCCACAGAACTGCATCAGAGAGGCAGCAGGATAAGGCCAGAGGCACAGGGCCTTTGAGTCAGAGGATTCACAGCTGGGTCCCACGTCCACTGCTCTACTTTGGACATCTCCCTAGGTTGTTCTTTTCCATCATTCAAACAGCACTAATAAACATCACCTCTGGTACTGGCTTAGTGTAAGAATAAAATAATACGATGTATGTAAAAGGAATTTGGAAATAGAGAGCTACGCAAATATTAAGGAGTCTTTGTGCGTGTGTGTGTGTGTGTGTGTGTGTGAATAGCCAAAGATTTCCCAAAGATTGATTGTTTAGCTAATAAACTGGCCAGATCTTTTTTCCTCTTGTTCCTTCTCTCTTCCTACTCTTATAGCTAGTATACCCTGTTCTTCTGGAAAGATGATAATGGACAGGGCCATTCGTGATTCTATACTTTGCTTTCAGAAGAGTTACCTGAGTTGTTACATCACCTTGTCGATTAGATGTCCTTCATTACCGTGTATTATTTTTATGCTCCATCTTGATGTCTGTACTTCTTAAATGAATGGCAATTTAGCTAATTAGCTAAGTGGTGGGAATTATGATTTTTTAAAATGAGTATTTTAAGTAGTGTTCTGTACTTTGTTGACTCTAAAGGGGAAAACAGCATGTTCAGCAAATGCGTTTTAAAGCTCAGTACTACTTGCTATGTTCAAATGATTCTCAGGGAAAGGCTAGAAGACAGTGTCAGCTTTCAGCGTTGCCGAATCTTGGGCTAATATTTGTTTAGGTGCTTTGCTGAGTGACTTGAATAGAATCAAACCCAGATGTGGTTATCATTGTTTCTCCCCAGAACTTGTTTACTGTCACTAAGGCTGACTTGGTAACTGGAGGGAGATGTAAATAGGAACCTGAGTAGGATCCACAGATCAAGTTGGGTGCCCCGTCTCAAGTCTGTCCCTAGACTCTCAGGAAATCCATGTGACACTGGAGCACAAATATCCCCAGAAAATCTTTAAGACAAGACAAAATATGGTAAACAGTGTTTGACTTTCAACACTGTTGATTAGTTAATCATTGTGTTATCACAGCATAGATTAGTTAGGTTCATTGCAGTTAGGTGCATTGCCCTAACTGGTTTAGCTCAGTGGATAGCGCTGGTCTGTAGACTGAAGGGTCCCAGGTTCGATTCCAGTCAAGAGTATGTATCTTGGTTGCGGGCACATCCCCAGTAGGGAGTGTGCAGGGGGCAGCTGATTGATGTTTCTCTCTCATCGATGTTTCTAATTCTCTATCCCTGTCTCTTTCTCTCTGTGCAAAAAATCAATAAATTTAAAACAAACAAACAAAAAACAGTGATGCATGGCAGGTCAACGCCAGCATGGCCAATGGCCCTGGAGCACAAATGGACCCAACAGCTTGTTCTTGCTTCCAGAGGGAGTCATCCTGAAGCAGAACCAGGTTTGTAGCATTTCACTGTCAGATCTCCCTCCACACCTGGGCAAATGCATTCTCCTTTTTTGGTCACACTCAGAGAAGTGGCTATTTTGTATATCTGATGCGTGACTCGATTTTATCAGAGCAATTGTATGTCAGATTAGGTCATCTCGAGCTCCCCCGTACAAAGTAAGATGCCAGAGAATCCTTGTGCCCCTAACTCCCAGAACTTATGGATCTTAGATCGATTCCCAAATAGTTCTGGTTGTTCGATGTAACTTTGTCTAATGTCACTGGCAAGCTAGAACTTTAGTATTTATATCTGCCACCCCTAGTCAGACACCCCCCCAAAAGTGTATGCTCTAGAGATTCCACAGTGCAAATTAAGGACATTGTTATTGTTTGAAAAATTATCCTTTAGTATCTACCACCAAACAGACATAGTTCTGGCCTTCTCAGTGAGGTCTGTTAGTGCTAAGAACCAATTGTGAAATCCTGGTGGATATGTGTCATGTAAAACTTTGTAGAATTACCTTTTACAGGCGCCATGGCTTTTTGACAGATAAGCACCAGGTTTCAGAAAGTAGCTCTACTGTTACTAAGAGTGCAACTTTTTACAAAGTTGAATAATGTATGGCATGAAATTTCAAATTCAGTGTTCTCCTGTGTGCAATTTCAACTGTGTTTTGTATAAAACGTAATTTTTTTTAAAGAGGAGTAATGATCTTGATTTTTTCATGGTCCCCCTGGATAAAATCAGTACGTGAAATTAGATAAAGTGCAAAGTAGATGCCGCTAAAATTTAATTTGAGAAATTTTAACCAATATGCTGTGAATGTGTAATAGGACTTGCTGCATCCTGCTGTCCAGAAAATATAGCCAGTGTCTCTCCATTTACAGCGCCTCTAGTATCCTATTGTACTGACCGCAATATTCTAATCTCTGTGCTGTGATAACACAATGATTAAGCACTTTTATTACAGAAATGCCTCATGACTACTGACCTTTTCCAGTTTGTTCTTTATAGGAAAGCACAAGCCAAAGTGGAAAAAAAAAAATCTAGGAAAGCCAATAAAAGAGTAAATGGAGCCTTTCTTTAGGGAATCAAACATTGCCACCAGGGGAAAGTCTAGCATTCAGAGTGTACACACATATCCACCTACATTATTTATTTTCAATTTGTTCTTCTCTCTTCTTTGCAGGTGCCCAGAGATGTGATAAAGGACTGCTCGACTCCGTCTCCGGGCTGAGTCGAAGTGGGTCCCTGCTCTTGTTCTTCCTTTGGCTTTGTCTAGGGGAAAATAAAACTCATTAAGCACCAAATAAATGCGTCATTTCATCTCAAGAATGTCAAGTTTAGACAGTTCCCTTTCAAGAGCACAAGGCTTCTACTGACATTTAAAATTTTAGTCCTTTATAATTGATATATTTTAATGAGCATAATAATTGCACTAGTTTTTAAAATAAAAGTAGAACATATAATACATGAGCATAGAGGAACTTTAAAAAAGTTTCAGAAAACTATTAAAGTATTAAGAAATTCTCACCTCTTTTTTTCTTATTCCTTACTCATACCCCAAATTCTGCTCTCAATATGTTTTTCTTTATTTCCCCCAGAAAAATATCTAATATATATCCTGTATCTACATTTAATTTTTACATAAATGGAAGTTTATAATAAATTCTTACATATTCTTTTTTTTACATTAGAATAACTTGTAAACTATTCCAAAATGCACTTTGTAGTTCTTCTCATTTTTAATAGCTAAGAACATACCATATTAAGTATATAGCTTACCTTATTTATTTTACTATTTCCTTACCATGCACTTTTAGATTTATCCAGGATTAAAAAACACACCAAAACACTATATAGCTAATCCTACAATAAAAGTTCTTAAACACTCTGCATAGAGCTTTGCACTGGTGTGTCAGCATATTCAGCAAATAAATGACTAGGAGTGGGTATGTTCATTTTAAATTTTGATATATGTATTTCAAATTTCATTCTAGCAATTTACATTCCAAGCCAGAGTGAATGGATAAGCCTGCTTTACCACACGTACATCAAAATTATGAAATATAAAATGAGTGCTGTCTGACATTTTGATAGTTTAAAACATCATATTGTTTGAATTTGCATTTTCAAAATTATGAATGAGGGTGAACTTTCATTTTAATATCCATTATCTATTTGAATTTATTTTTTATGAGGTCTGTTCATATTTTTTGCCAGTTTTGAAGTTGGTATTTTTCTATTGATTTGTAAGAGCTCTTTGTGTACTAATTGCCACTTTCTTGTCATACCATATATGCTGCCCAGTGTTCCCATTTTGTTACCTGAGTTTAGATTTATTTTATGCAGTATAAATAGACATTTAAAAAATTTTATGTTTTTCCATTTATCAATCTATTTGAGGTGTCTAGACGTTATGACCTGCATAACAAAACTGTCTTTACTAAAAAATTATTTAAAAAATATATGCATGCATTCTCCCATTCTTTATGTCTACTTTTATTTTCAGCAATTAAATATTTAATTTGACTGGATTTCATGTCAGTAAAATTAGGTAGGGTCCTGCTATTTTTTTCCAAAGGGTTATTGTCAAGTATAAAGAAATCAATCAATTATATGACATTAAGAAACATTAGTCTTTGTTTGGTTAGTCAGTAAACATATAATTAATCATAAATAAATTATTGCAATAACTGCAAAATACAAAAATTAAAAACTATTCTTTAAACTTCATCATTAAATCTCTGTGGTATTATGAAGGCTCTTTGATTCCTCTTCTTCATGAAAATAATTTGGATTAGCTGCTACCTTGGGGATAGACTATAATAACTATTATCAATGGCTACGATATGCCAGGTTCTATCCTAGATCCTCAGTATTTATTGTTTCAATTAATCCTCATAAATATTGTCATCCATTTACAGTTGAGAGAATTGAAAGTTTTAATATCATATGATCGCACAGCTAGTAAGGAGTATAAACAGTATGTGAAGCCAATACATAATGAATGTCATATAGACTAATTTGTATCACTGTCCCTGCCTATCTGAGCTTGGACTCCAAGTCTTTCAAAAGAATCTCATCATTCCCCATTCCCACTTCACCCTGGAATGCTTTTGACGAACAGAAAACAGGATATTTTATTCACTGCCAAAGTCTAATCTGATGCTACGTGGTTGTCGGCTTTTAATTATTCACCTTTTGATTTATATTGAAAGTGTGTTTAAAATAAAACATGGTATATTCTATAGACTTGATCATTAAAAACAGATTTGAAAACACAAGGCAGAACATCAAAAGGGGCAGTGTTTTGGAAACTCCTGGCTGAACAAAGCATATTTCATTGTACTGCTGGAAGGTAGGATCATGTCTTTATGCGCTCAACTTTTTAGTTTGTAGGCACTCTTATTAAGTTGTGTCTGAAAATGTAATTATGAACCCATCAGGGAATAACTTTAAATATATGCAAATGTGCAAACATGTCAGATTTTTAAGCCAGTGTCTATAGAAATGTCGTGGGAACAGCCAGCACCTGAGTATGCAGTATAAGGGAGCATCACAATGCCAGGAGGAATGGCAATGCTAACTACAAAATGGACCAGATTAGCTTTCTGACAGCCAATAAGCCAGTTCCTTTCTCACTAAAAAATCTAATTAATAGCTGAGATTTTCTAAATCCAACAACAGCAATTTGATAGTCTTAAAAAGAGCCCCTCAAAGAGAAATGACAAAGTACCTGTATTGGTCTTGGCCCTAAATAGAATAAAAATATGTTTCTTTAAAAACTTTTGTCACAATTCACACACTCATGCAAGATTGGGGTTGAAAATCATTTCCCTTAGTGATCTAAAATCTCCCAAGCAGAGGAAAGAAGTTAAAGTGGTCCTGGGTTGATGGATCCTAACCAAAAAAATTACAAATAGAAAACAGCTCATTTTAAAAAATATGTAGGTACAAAATATTTACAATAGCAATATTTGTAATTTGCACATGTACACAAACACATAAATGTATACACATAGGCAATATACAAATATATTCATGTGTAAAACTAGCCAATTGTCCATAAACAAAAGAATGCATAAATGCTGGTATAATCATGATATGGACTATTACAACTTCTATTAAACTGGACTCATGGGAATAAATGGAAAATGAATAAAATATTAGCATAGAAATATCTTAGAAATATAATATTGATTACAAAAGAAATAGAACACAGACAAAATGGCAACATTTTTATAACGTTCACACACATGCAAGACTAAAACTAAAGAACATATTTTTTAGGGAAATGGATATGCTGTAAAATTACGCATACTCACACGACTACAGCTGCCTATAGAGAGACTGGAAAATATAGTCTCTAGCTGGGCCACCATGTTTCTTACTAAATAGCATTAGTAGAATTCTATTCCTTAAACTGGATTTTTGGTGTATAGGGATTTGTAATAATGTTTTCATATTACATATATTATATTTTTTAATTATAAAGTATTTCACAGCAAAAAAGGGACAATACAAGAGTGGTATTGAACCACTGAATAGTGGAACCTGACTAATCTCTTTAGGGTGATGATGATGGTGAGGGTGGACCATCGATTGCTTAAGATGAATGATTAATGGATTTCCTTCCCCTTTTCCTTTCCCTCCCCTTCTCCCTTCCTCCATCCCTCCTTTCCTCTCTTCCTCTTTTATATCCTTCCTTCTTCCCTCCCCTTCCCTCCCTTCCTCTTCCCTCCCCTCCTCTCTTTCTCATTGAGGTTAAGTCAAATGTCAGATGCTAAGAATGAGGGTATAATTGCTAGGAGTTGGTGGTTTGAAGACAACGAATGCTTGAAACATCTGTTGTAGTGAATGGGCTGTCAAGCCGTGGAGCAAAAGTGATAAATTTGTTGGGGAATTTGACTGCCCTATTTGAGACTGCAAATAATAAATTTAGGGGGGTTCCCATCTGTCCTAGTGTAGGTTTTGTATGAGCAATCCTTAGCAACCTGTGTGCAGGCCAGAGAAAATAGTTGGTTATGTGTTTACAACTTTGCTAGATGGATAAAGAAAAAAATACAGAGGTGTAAGAGTTTAGGGTATATGCAAACAAGACTTTACCTTAGCTTTCATGTTTCATAATTTTAAAGAAAAAAGGAAACAGTAGTGAACTAACAGGAAGAAGGTGAAGATTGCAATGTTTTGGAGATTACCACTGAGTAAAAAAATCATAGGTAAATGAGTAACATGTTAGGGGAGAGGGTACTAGGTTTGTTATTAAGCAGGACTATTAAATAAGCAATTTCAGTTATTGAGCAATACTGAGGATAATTTCCAGAGAAAAATTCCAGTGAGTTAGGACTTGTCAACAAAGCATCATGTATTGGCAATATTCCCTTAGCCCCCAACATGTTCTAGGCATTAGCCTAGAAACTTTGACTTCATTCTCATTTAATTCTCACTTTGATAGGCATTAGTTTTTCCATTTATTAAAAAGCAAACTAAAGATCATAGAAATTGTGTAATTTGCCAAAATTCAAAGTGGGAAGGCTGATTTGGAATCCTTACTGATTTTATTTGAAAGCTCATGTTTTTCCCACCTCACTATAGTAGATAACTAGGAAGTACATTCTTATTGGATATTTTTACTTATCTATGCTGCCTGTTGAGATTGAGTCAAAATGAATCTTCTAAACAGAAATTGTTTCCTTTGTGGTCTTTTCTTCTCCCATTTTACTCCTTACCTTGAAAGAGACAAACACTGGAAAATGCTCCCTCTCCTTTTTTTTTTTTTTTTGAGGGGAAGTGGAAAGGTTACATTTCCTTTTCACTTCCTCTCATGTCCTCTCTTTTATGTTGTAAAATACTTTAATAATACATCTTTTACATATTAGAACATGTGTTCCATTTAAATATTAATCCAGACTTCCGGTTCAAGATGGCTTTTAAAAAACCCATATTAAAAAACTATAAGAACATAAAATAAAAAATGAGTTCATATGCTCTGAATTATGTAATTTTGAAAGCAGAAAATCATTAGAAACCCAATTCAAATTGAAAAACAAAAACAAAATCACAGTGAAATAATTTAACCCGTCTTCTGGTAGATTATGGTGGTAATAAATAAAATCATAGGGAATTTAAATACTATTATCAGTAATTAATGGGGATATATATATATATAGTGATGTCCAACATAGAATGTTCATTCGTTTCACATGCTTATGGAATATTCACAACAACTGATTTTATTCTGCAAAGACAACTTCAAAAAGATTCCAAAAAGTAGG